AAGAGAGAAAGTGACACCTGTTTAACCAGAGATATTAGCTTCTATGTGTTGATCCTCCCTCCCCTCCTACTACACTGCCTAATTCAGTCCAGCTTTAGCTGGCTGTTGAAGTCTGACAGATTTGTACCACAGACATAAGAATTGGAAAAAGAAAGGGAAATGTAATTGTTTTTACCTCTTCACCCAGCTATAAACACAAACTATACTCAAGCTGTCTAATGTTAAACCACAACAATTTTCAAAATAAGATCCAGCTGTGCAATAGGTACATGCTGGATTCTGAGTTTCAAGACCTCTTTCAGTTGTTTATGGTACTATTTAGCTCTTGGTCTTATGCATGACCACAACGGGAACTCCAAGGTCTTTGTCCTCTGTGATCCTGAGGAAACTCAAGGAGTTTCCTCACACTGAGCCTATCTAGCCTGACAGGAGGTTTTAAGAACTGAAATTACTGTGTATCCTCAGAAGATTTGCAAAAGATAAAGAAAAGTTAAGGCATTTCATGTTATGCCATCCACAGCATCATTACATGACTCTCAGCAAAATGGAATTGGTAGGGACCTCCCAGAGCTGACAAGCATTCCCCTGCTAGTTTTTAAATGAATATGCCACCTTCCATGAGCATATCACTTATTTCTGATACAAAAAAAAATGACATAACAATAGAAAAACCTCATGCTAATTTATGAGGGGAGAAAACAAATATATGAATAGCCTGGAACATAATTCCTAAAATTTTGCTACCCAATTATCTCTTTTTCGTCCACTAACCAACTCAGTAAATCTATTAAAAGCCTTCCTACTTTCTTTCCAGACAGCTGTTTTGTACCAGGACTCTGCTAGACTGGTCAGGGAACAGAAAGAGAAAGAGAAAAAAAAAAAAAAAAAGTTTTACACAGCTGCTACCACTCTCCACCAATCTAAATGGAAATCTGACTATTCAGATTCCATTTCGGCAATAAATGGATTTTTCCTCCTTGTTACTGAAATTTGAATATTAAGTTACTGTTTCTTCTGCATTGACACGCTGAAGAAATCACAATGATATTAAAAGTGAGAGGGAAGAGCAATAAAATGCCTTGACTTTAAACATTTTGTTCCTCACAACCCACAATCTTACTTTGATGTCACTCAGTTTTCACTATTTTTTTTTCTTGTGTGTTTTGTTAAACACTATATGCTCTTTATAAAATGCCATTCAAAGTCTGCCTAAAATCAAACGATTAGGACATGAACAATTTTATTCAAGAAAAATTCTATTCAGAAAATATAAATATAAGTATTTTTCTCTGCCAATGTTCCCAAAATCAAACCACTTTTTTGATTGGAATTTCACATAAAAGTCGGAGGTCAATCTCAAGCCTGCAAAATTACAGCTAAAGTCCTAGACTTGACATAATAGTAGTTTCAGACCAGCACATGAACAGCCTAGGTGACATGGTAGATTGCTTGCTACGATCAAAGATGATTAGCAGAGATAAATTCTTATCTTAGACCTCCCTATGTCATTTGACATATCTATCATATTTCCAAAGGAATGTTTTAATATTGGGTACATCCTAACAACATGATGGAAAATGGTACCAAAGATCAACTATCTCCCTAGTCCTGTATGGCATTTTAATGCAGTTGTAAAATGGTATAGACTTGTGTGCTAACAACCTTTCACCATATATAAATATATATGTATGCACCACTTCATTACACATGGCATAACACTTAGAAAATAGGTCCAAGTCTGAGATGAAAAACATTTTTAAAATTCAAGCCAAAGAGGTCAGTGATGATCCTGATGAGCAAAGGAAAGCACTTTAAAAGGTTGCTGCTACAAAACAGCTGTTGTCTGAAGCATACATATTTATCATTGAGTAACATAGTCAATATTTTATTACTGGTTGTGGATTCTGGATTCCTATTTTACAGTCTTACAAACCCACACATCTGAGTGATACTTTTTTTTTTTTTTTTTAACAGCTGAGCAAAGCTACTTACCGATACTCTAGAAATGACTGTCATGATTTTCCTACTTTTTGGTCAGGTTTCAGCCATAAAATATATCTTGGAATTAAACCATTAATTGCTAATACTCATTAGATCTTGAGTTTCCAGGAGATGCAACATACATAAAAATACTATCTGTTTTAATCACTGTTTGTCATTGAACACAGAAAATCAGAAAACAGAAGTGAGAATGTAAGTAACAGCTCTGATCCATTGGCACCACTGAACTTTCTATTTAAATATTACATTAATGGGATTATTTTCAGGGATTATTCTGTGACTGTACAATGTTCTCCCCTTAGCGCAGACCATCACAATGAGCCTCTCCATTGCTTGTTGCACTTTTTTGACCTTTCTTTACTTTTATGAACGAATAGAAAAAAGTTGGAAAAAAATACAAGCAAAACCCTTCTGTGCATACACAATTCTCTTCCTGGCAGAGGGGAGAGAAAGAAAATGAGCTACAGTTGACACATTAGTCACTTTACATGATGTGCTAATGGAAGATACTCCAATATTGTGGGTGATGAGGGCTGTATAAGAATTTATGTAGTAGAATGGAAACTGCTGACTTCCAATGGGCAAAGAGAAGAGATTCTGAATAAGACTAGATTTATTTTATCAACCACACAGCAGTCAAAGCTGTTTCAATGAAGATAAATGAAGAACTCTATCATCTTACTTTGTAGACTTATTTAACCAACAGACTGTCTGCTCTATGATTTGTGATGGCTTTACACATTAGAAACTAACTGAGATATATCATGACTGTCAAATCCTGGTATTCCTGTGGGTTTCACAATACAGTACAATAGAACCACTTTCATTATCTTTGTGTTACAGATAATGGATAATAAACCATCTTACAGTACCCAAAGGAAAGCCTCTTGGAGCAGAGAAACACTCTTAATACACAGAACATCTTTTAAACCTTTTAAAAATAAATAAATAAAAATAAAATAAAGTCTTTGAATCAAAAGGAAGATTGCTGTTTTTTTAAAAAAAAGCTATGTGTGCTTCTGTTAAAACTGCTTAAACTACCCTGTAACAGTAACTGTGCAGTTAGTCTAACTACAGCACTTAATTAAAAGTAGTTGATAAAGTCTAACAGCTTGGATTTCCAAAAATTCACTGACCAATTCCAACTGTCAGCAATATCAACTCATTTGCTACTTCTGCCATTTGAGCTCTAGCTCGCTTTGCATGAAATGTCCTTCTATCTTTCTTTTTCCTAGTGCTGGACTGTTACCACTCTTTTTCACTTTCTCCAGTCATTCCCATCTCTTTCCCACAATCTCTCACACCTCCCTATAACTCATAAAAAAATCTTTTACTGGAATTTCCTAATTCTATTCAAAATGAGCAGAATTTAAGCAAATTTTGTATCCCTACAAAACAGAATATACAAAACTAAATCTATGGGATGGGGCGACACTATTGATTTTTGACACATCTTTTCAGTTTACTGAGCATTCAAAACAGGATTTCCTCAGATCTTGACATAACCTACAGGTGACTGTGCAGACAGAGGCTACCCTCCCATAAGCCCTGTGTCATTTGGCAAGTCACATGTGGAAACCTTAGACACTTTAGGCAACCAAAGCAGTACTAGATGACTGTGTTTCTTTGTAGACATCACTTTCTCTCTTATCCCTTCTATAGTGAAGTGACTTCTTCATACTCAAGCTAAGAAAAATATTGCTGTTGATATTTTTATCTGCCTGAGATGCAGCAATCATTTCAAATTTCCTAGCTGCCATTGCAGCTCTTTAGAAGCAGCTGGCAGCTCTTTAGAAGAGAAATTTAACTTATTTTATTAACATTGCATCGTGCCTTTTCTTCCTACCACATTCATTGATTTTATCATTTATAGTGGTTGTATTGGTAGTACACAAGATATGACAGGCAAAGTTTATAGAAGAAATGCTATTTTTAATTACAACAATCCACACAGTGGGAGTGAGCAGACTCCAAAGAGCACAGAAGCTTCACAAAAACTTCTTCAGGTCACCAGAAGGAACAGCAGTTCTCAAGTCCAAGAATAAATGCAGGGTAAAACCTACAGGTTTTATTTATGTCAGCTCATAGAAAACTTGAGGGAAAAGGTTATCCATTACTTATACAACATATGGAGCCAGATTATTCCTTAGTTTCACTCGAACACTTAGAGACAGTGCCTAGCATCTCTATTTTTTAGTTGCTTCTTTAACAGGAGTTAAACAAGTGGGAGAAAACTGAGCAGTGCTATTAAATGAGTCCTCCTATTACACCAGTGACTTTCAGAATTTACTAATCTGTATGTTTTGCTTCTTTGGGTGATAAAGATCTAAACAAATGTTTAACATTTCCTGAAATTAAGAGATAGATGTTAAAGATGTGATTTTTTTTTCTTCCACTGAGAAAGAGATGTTCATATTCTTCATTAGCTGTATGTCTGAAGCTCTTCCAGATATATATATATATGTATATATATATTTTTTTTCTTGGTCTTTTCTGTAGTGGTTTTACTCAGCTGGGCAGCCAATCTCCACCACAACTACTCTCTCACTTCCCCTCCTCAAAGGGAACAGTGGAGAAAATACAATGAAAAGGGCTTGAGGATTGAAATAAGGACAGAGAGATCACTCAACAATTATCATAATATATATATAACCTATTACTAACAACCTAGAGAAGTGAGAAATAAAGGAGAACTGAAAACACCTTCCCCCTCTCCATCCTCTTCCACTTCCTGCCCACAAGTGAAACATCTGAAACTGTCCCTTATCTGACATGGGAGAGCTTCTGGACTCTGCTCACAGAGGCCACCCCTGCAGCCCTCTGCTACCAAAACCTTGACATGTAAACCCATTACACTTACATATATATGCAAATAATTTCTCTGCTTTTATGTTCTGATATCAGCTTAGTTAGCTTACTATTTCAATTGATAGAAAAACAAAGCAAACCAAACCAAACAAATAAAGAAACAAAGCTTGGTATGTTTTCCTTCCACTTACCTGTGCTTAAATATCTTATATAAAGCTGCAATCTCTCTTGGGAACAGGCATTTTAAATGCTTGCAAGTTGCCTAACTCCATTTGAGCTTATATTTTTGCCATAATGATAATAAACTCAATTCATGTGCATGTTAGTTGGTTCACCCCAGTATGTGTCCCTTGTATTTAATAAATATTTAACTGTCTACTGTGTAATAATTAATCACCTTTGCTTTCCTTATAAATGTCCTTCTGTTAAGGTTGCATGGCTGTTTTATATGTACACTAAATCTTTTCCAAAAAGAAAGCTATGGCAGACAGTGCCTCTATCTCCAGGATAATCCAGTCCTACAATATATATTTGTTCAGAGTTTACAGTTAATTGCTTGACAGTAAGAAGGGAAAGAATTTGAGGCATTCAGGGAAAAAAAGAAAAAAAAAAAAAAAAAGCAAACAATAGCTGAAACAGGATTAGAAGTGCTATTGAAAAGATCATCTTTAGGACATTATCAGCTTGTAATTAGACCTTTACCACTGACACCAAAGTCCTCATCTCTAGGCTCAGTTGTAGTTCTGACCTACTGTGTGGCATTTCCTTCCAGCCCTTTGTGGCTCTGTGTCACTGGATCCACTAGGATGATAAGGTTACTTATAGATTCATGGAATATATAACAGCAATGGACATACACTGATGTTCTAGAATTGCACTGTGGAATTCAATAGCATTTGGAAACTATAGAAGATCTACACAGAGGACTGCAGATACTTAAAAGCTTTGAAGAAACATTTCTTGAATGCATAGCCCTTCATAAAATACATAGACAAAAACCGTTCTCTAGACACAGACTTAGTTCCTAAAGAAAAAAATTGTTAAAGCCAGCATGCAAAGTAAGGAGTCAACTAAAATAGATTGTAGGAATTTGAAAGAATAATTATACATTTATATACATTTCTTCTGGGTTTACAGAATTGGTGGATAGGGGAAGAGCAACTGACATCATCTACTTGGACTTGTGCAAAGCATTTGACACTGTCCCCAGTGATATCCTTGTCCCTGAATTGGAGCGACATTGGTTTCACAGATGGACCACTTAGTGGGTAAGGAATTGGCTAGATGGTCACACTCAAAGAGTTGCAGACAATGGCTCAATGTCCAGGTGGAGATCAGTAACGAGTAGTGTTCCTCAGGGGTCAGTACTTGGACTGGCACTGTTTAACAGTTTTGTCAGTGACGTGAACAGAGAAATTGAGTGCACTCTCAGCAGGTTTGCTAATGACACCAAGCTGTGCGGTGTTGTCAACACAATGAAAGGAAGAAATGTCATCCAAAGGGACCTTGACGTGCTTGAGAAGTGGGCCTGTGTGAAACTCATGAAGTTCAACAAAGCCAAGGTCCTCCATCTGGGCCAGGGCAATACCAAGCGCCAGCACAGGCTGGGCAGAGAATGGCTTGAGAACAGCTCTGATGAGAAGGATCTGGGGGTGTTGTTTGAAAAGAAACTCAACATGAACCAGCAATGTGTGCTTGCAGCCCAGAAAGCCAGCCATACACTGGGCTGCAACAAAAGTGTGGCCAGCAGGTCGAGGAAGGTGACTCTCCCCCTCTGCTCTGCTCTTATGTGACCTTACCTGGAGTACTCGTATCTGGGGCCCCCAGCACAAGAAGGACATAGAAGTATTAGAACAAGTTCAGAGGAGGGCCATGATCAAAGGGCTGGAACACCTCTCCTGTGAAAACAGGCTGAGGGAGCTGAGATTGTTCAGCTTGTAGAAGTTCAGCTTGTAGAAGAGAAGTCTCTGCAGAGATCTCCTAGTGTCCTTCAAGTACATTAAGGTGGCCTACGAGAAATCTGGAGAGGGACTTTTTGTCAGGGAATGTAGAAATAGGACAAGGAGTGTTGGCTTTAAAATAAAAGAAGGTAGGCTTATATTAGATATAAGAATATTTTTATATGTGTTGTATAGGAGTGCTGTATGCATGTGCCTACTGGAATGTTCAGCCTCACTACTGTTTGGAGCTGTGGGCATGGAACAGTGACTGTCTTGCTTCTATCAGCTACTGGATTCAGCAACTTCTAGCAAACACCAGGAAAGAAGCAAGTATCTGTCTACATGTGCAAGGTGGTATTCAGTTTGGTGATAATCTACAGAGTATGAGTGTCTTCATGTGAGCTAAACATTGAAGGTCTCATTTCAGGTCAAAGGGGAGGTGGAGAGCAGAATTCTGTCACCTAGTGTTATTTCAGAAGCAGGGGCGTATCCTCCTGCCCCGTTCCAGCAGGACATATGTCTCCCATACACCCACACATCTTGCACATCTTCCATATCTGAAGCCATTATTGTCTGAAATGGTTCTTTCTTCTATGCTTAGTGAATACAGTATATATTCAGTACTAGCACACAAAAATCTAGGCAATATTAAGTTTCCTAAAATATGCCAGTGTCAGGCAGCATTTTATATGTTTTTGGATATTCCAAGTGGCCTCCAATGGTTGCTCCAATAAATCACAGATCTGCAAGCCTCTGATATCTCAGACATACTCTAGACACTGATCTTAGTACTTGTAGAGCTTAACTACAGAAAACTTCTAAATGTGGATTTCACCTAGATGATGTTGAACACTTCCCTCTGGAAAGTAGTTTGGGAATCTATTTACTTTTCAGCTTTGCACTGCATTCAGAAGGTGCAATTCAGTGAAAAATAAATAAATAAATGCTTTGCTATGCTTTCTGAAGTAGTCTGCAATGATCTGCAATGCTTTCTGAAATAATATCCTTCCAGTTACTAGGAAAAAGCTAGTGGTGGTGTAACACCAATAAGTAACTAAACACTACCAGACAATCTCACTCCCCCTCCTCAGAAGGATAGAGGGAGAAAATAGAATGAAAAGAAGCTTGTGGTTTCAGATAAGGACAGGGAGATCTCTCACCAATTACTGTCACAGGCAAAACAGACTGCACATAGGAAAGATTAATGTAATTTTTTGCCAATTGACAATAGTAGAGAGCAGTGAGAACTAAAAGCAAACTAAAGACAATTTCACCATTCACCTTCCCCTGAGTGACACAGAGGAAATGGGGAATGGGGACTGTGGTCAGTCCATAATATCTTGTCATCTGCTGCTCCTTCATCTTCTCTCTCTTCCCCTGTTCTAACGTGGGGTCTCTTCCATGGGGTGTGGTCCTTCCCATAGTGATCCTAAGTGGGATTTCCACAGCCAGCAGTTCTTCAAGGAGCACTGCAATATCGGTCTGTAGTATGAGGTCCATCCTTCAGGAATTGAATTCTCTGAAATGGATCCTCCATGGGCTGCAGCTGTCACCAGATCACCTGCTCCCTTCCACAGACTATGGCTCCAACCTGGAATCTGATCCTGTGGGGGCTGCAGCCTCCTTCAGGCCATATCCACCTGCTCCACCATGGGCTCCTCCATAGCCTGCAGTGTGGAGATCTGTTCCACATTATTGTTTTCATGCAGACAGCCTGCTCCTCTCCATGGATTGTAGGGGAACTTCTGTTCTGGAGCCTAGAGCACTTTCTGCCCTCCTTCTGTACTGACCTTGCTGTCCATAGTCTGATGTTGTTTCTCTCTACATTTTCTCACTCCTCTCTTAAGATGCTTTTTGTGCAGCAGCTTAAGAAAAACTAAAGAAAGTTTTCCATTTCTTAAAAATGCTCTCACAGAGGTACAACCAACATTGTTTATTGTCTCAGCTTTGGCCAGTGGCAGGTCTCTTTTGGAACCATCTGAAAGTGTCTCATATAACTTGGAGCAGCTTCTGGACAGAAACCACCCCTGAAACACACACACACACACAGACACTGCTACAAAAATCTTGCCACATAAACACAATACAGGTATCTATATAATACCACAGGTGTTTCTGGTAAGTATAAGTTTAAGACAATGGGATGAAAGGATTGTTTAAGGAAGGATCTTGAAGATGAACTGCTTATACAAACTTTGGCTCGTAAGAACTCAGTTTTAGTTTTGGGTGCCTGAGCTGAAATTTAGGTTCCTTTGTTCATGAAAACCCTTTTACTAATGAAGCCCTTATATGCGTACTCATATATTTAGGGAGCTAAGTGTAATAAAGACCTTAAATGCTTATATTCATATGTTTTGTAAAAAGACCACATCAGAGTACTTTAGTACTTTATCGATTTTAAATAGACTATTTGCATGTGTAAGAGATATCTATATACCTGTGGAAAAGTTATCTAGATACCAGTCAGGAACTGTGGCCTTCTGAAAAAATCTATGCCAACATGTTTAAAGAATAACAGTGTTACTGCCATATTTCCAATGATACACTCCTGCATGGGGTGGTGTGTGAGGAGAAAAAGAAGAGCCCAACTAATGTATAACTTCTGCATTATACTATATTTAAAGTACATATTTCCCCCAAGAGCTCTGAGGTTTAGCAAGTAAATTAGAAGTAATTACTTATAAACTTCAATTTTGAAATATAGGCATTTTATTTAGTAAAATTGTCCACTTTCCTACATCACTGTAATACTCTTGGCACTGAAGGAAAATAAGAACAACATAATAACACTGAGCTTCTTATTGCATGGAAAGAGAGGCAAGGAAGACTGCTGGGAGCTGAAATTATTTAGATTCTTTCCTTGATTATAGATGATGAAATTAAAAAATCAGATTCCAGATGTCTAACAAACTGAGAGGTTTTGGTTTGTTGTTTTTTTTTCTTTTGTTGTTGTTTATTTGTTTTAGATATATTTTTTTAATCCCACTGTCACTTAACTTCCTAGGAGGTTCTATGATACAGAAACATTTTAAGTATAAACCTTCTGCCAGTGTAACTCATGATATCATTACAAAAGCCCAGAGGAGGGAATCAGAAATTAATCCAAAATTAGATGTTAATTAGAAATGTGTGCAAATTGATATACTCTGTGGGAGATACAAAGCTATGGCATGCGGTGCATTTGAGTAGCACTTTATACCCTACCCTGAGCAAAGAAATGTACAGAAACTGAATGCTCATTAGAGATGTTGGATATCCATGTAAAGAGAAAATAGTCATTGCCTCAGAGTGCTTACATTTAGTGTAGAAATAACTGAATTATAATTAAAAGCTTGTCTTATTTTTCCTATTCTTTATTTTCACGGTTCCAGGTACAAATAACCTTCAGGTTCATTTAATATCTG